TCACACCCTGTGCCCCGGGCTGCATGTGAGCAGCTCTGTTCCTCTCCAGGCGGATCCTTTCCCCCCCTGTTCCAAACGTCCACCCGGAGGCAGTGGACGACGGGAGGACATGTCTGGGACACGGTGGACATATGAAGGTGTGTCTCACTCAGCCACCCTGGAGTCTGGGAATGGAAGGCCACCAAAGACCCAAGCCCAGCTGCTCTGGCCTCAGGTTCCCGAGATCACCCTCTGGGTGGCCCCGGTCAGACTCCGTTCTGCCTGCTCAGCCACCCACGTTCTGCGTGGGAGCTGAGGCACTTGCCCACCTCCGGTCGGTGGCAGAGGCCCCCGGGCGTGAGCCTGGGCTGGGGGCATTCGGAGCAGGGCTGGGGGTGGGGGCTCCTGTGGCCTCCGGCTCGCACTGTGCCTGCCTGTCAGGGGCCTGGGCCCCCTTCTGTACTGCAAGCCTGGGACGTGGACGTCACCCTTTCCAGCCCCAAAGTGCCCCCTACCCAGGCTCTGTGCCAGACGCAGGAAGGGGACCATGGGGACCAAGGGGAGTGGCCCGGCACTCAAGAGCCCAGGGCTGTTTGCTGTGAGCGGCCCCGCCGTCACCGGCACACCGCCTGGCTGCCTCCTGCTGGGCGGCCTCTGAGCCTGTGTGCCGGCAGGACGCACAGTCTGCTGGCCTCCAAGGGCCCCGCAGGGCGCAGTCCCTGGAGAAGCTGGGAGGTCCCCAGCACCGTGGGCAAGGTGGGCAGGGAGGGCACCCGGAGCCGGGGGCCCTGAGCCCAGGGGCAAACCAACGTGGCAGGGGAGACTCGGGTCTGGGGCGTGAAGTGGGGCGAGACCACCCGTGGAGGGAGGAGCCTCGCGGTCTGGCCTGGAGCCCGTGGCTGGGCCGGGAGGTTCCATCCACGAGCGGCCCCTTCCCGAGAGCACCGGCCTGCCTGCTCCAGGATTTATTTTCTGTCAGATTGGTGGCATAGTCACTTCACTCGGTGCTCCCGGCAACAGCAAAATAAAGATGCAAATAAACCCGCTGACCCCTCCTGGGACCTCCAGCCACCCCACCCCCACCCGGCACGCGCAGCTTTGAATTTTAAATTTCATTTTCCCCCTCGCTTTTCAATAACCGCTTTCCCCGTGATGTCTCCAGCCCTGACCTCGTAATGCCCGAGTTAAGAGGCAGAGTCTTGTTTCCAGCTGCAGGTAATTTACTTCTGAATGGTCCAATTACAGCGGCCGGGCTCTGCCTGGCTGCGCCTTCGCGGAGAGAACGCGTCACTCGGCATCTTGCCGCCTGACCCAGACCTGTCCTCGGACTGGGGGCTGCCGCGGGCGGGCCAGCCGGGGCCCTGTCTGAACAGCCCCAGAGGCCGGCACCTGGCGCACCCTGCCCACCGGCCAAGAATCGCCCAGAGAGAGAGACAGGTGGCCCCTGGGGACACCGCCGTCCTGGGGTCCCGGGTGGGCCAGCCGTGGGCGGCACGCCAGCTGGGATGGGGAAGGAAGCGAGGAACAGCGCTGGGCTGGTCAGAGAGGCGAGGAAGCTGACCTTCCCCAGGAGGCTTCAGGGCCTTCACGTCCACGTCACATGGAACCTGGACCGATGGAAACCGTCTGCCTTCGAGTTTTTTAGCACGACACGCTCACGCGGCGCTCTCTGCTGTGCGGGTCCTCCCTGAGCACCACACGCCAGTTAGCCCGGAGCGCATCCTCTGCTGTCCTCGGTCTGACGACGGGTGCCAATGTCAATTGGGGACCCTGGGCTTCAAGCAAAGTCCTGCCCCCTCTGAACTTCCCCTTACAAGTGAGTGTCCAGCACAGACAATGAAAACACAAAACAAAGCAAACAGAGCCTCCCGGCGCACGGAGGGCGTGCGGGGCGCCATTTCCGTCGCTGCCCCCGCCCCTGTGCCCTTGCGTCTGCCTGGTGCACTGGGGACAGTCAGCAGCACCCGGGCCCCTCTGGGGACCACCGTGAAATCCTTAATCCAGTGCTGACCCACCAGGGGTCTTCCGTGGGGAAGGCGGGGCCTCCGGAGGGAGGGGCAGCGAATGGGGAAGGGCTGGGCGTCTGGGGGGCGGTGCCGGCCCAGCCACCCTCCCCCCTTCTTCTCGGTGCCTCTTCAGCCTGCGGAGATGCGGCCGCCCACCCCGCCGCCCTGCCTGGACCCGGGTGCCGGCCCCCAGCCCCCGCCTGCCCGCTGAGCCCTGGCGTCCCTCTGCCCTCGAGGGCTCGCCGATATTTCTCTCATTCGACAAAACTGCCCTCAGAGGAGAGCTGGCGCCCCACTTGCCCAGTCACCTGTGGTGATGAGGAAGGTAGAAGATGGAGCGGACGCTCTGGTGGAGGGCGGCTGCCGAGACCTGCAGACAGAACGCTGGAGGGGCCCCTTGGCGGCACCCCCACCCCGCCCACCCGCAGCTCCTCCCGGGCCATGCAGACTCCCCGGGCCCCCCAAAGGCAGGACTGTCTCCCTGAATTGTGGGAGGCCCGGCACTGGGGTTGGAGGGCGCTTTTCACCTTCATATGACTTTTGGGTTTAAGCTCCGGCTGCGTCCGAGCACAGGGCTCACAGACAGAAGGCCAATGGGCCGACTTCCCGGGACAACAGGCGTGCACATGGGGGCCAGACGCCGCGCACTTCCCACCCTCAGACCGGGGCGTCCAGTCGGACAAGCTTTGCTGGTGAGGGGCTGGGGGCGAAGCCGGAGGGGACGCAATGGGGGAGGCCGACAAGATCTAACCAGGCCCCAGGTGCATCGCCCTCCCAAAGGAATCCACCTCAAAAGTGCAGCGGGGGGGGGGGGGCAGCACGCGGGGGTGCGGACCTCCCGCAGAGGCGGAGGCTGGGGTCCGGGACCAGAAGCGAGGTCTGCGGAGGCCGGGCTCTGTGTCCCCGGCGCTGTGCCGCCCTGGAGAAGGCGGAACCTCCCAGACAGTGGGGGTGGGGGAGGGCAGAGGAAGAGACAGAGCAGAGCGTCTGAGGCGGGGACAGGTCTGGCCCTGGGATGACGGGCGCCGTCCGCTCGTCAGCTCCAGGGGGGCCCTGGGCTCGCCGCCTGCAACCAGTGACCCCCACAACTGCACATGCGATGGCAGGGGAGGCAGGGAGGGGCGTGGTGTGCGGGGACCCTGCAACGCCCAGGTAATTTGTGGACCTAAAACTGCACTTTTACAATGTCTGTTAATTTTTAAAACGAACGAAATAACGACATGCCAACTCACTAAATCACAGTTTGTGCCGAGTGTATCGGTGTGACAGAAGGTTTCTCTAAGACTCAGCAAGACGCACCAGAGGCAAATGTGCACCCACCCAGTGGCCTGGCCACTCAGAGGGGACTCGGTTCGATGAAGCCCGCCCCCCAGCCGCCCCCTCGGAACGGACCCTGAGGACCGAGGGGCTCTCTCGTCCCGAAACCCTGCGAGGGTCCTACGAGGCTTCTCACAAGCACGGCCTGGGCTTCGCCTTCGGCTCAAGCCTGCTTCCCTTTGCGCGTTCTTGCCAGGTGGAGACGCCGGAATGAGGGGCAGTCCCGGCCCCGGCTTTAAGGTCTGTGTCAATCACTCGGCTCCTTCTCCGGCTCGCCCCCTGCCCCCACCTCATCCTCTGCCGCCAGCGGCCCCTCCGGCATTCCGCCCTCCAACAGGGCGTCCGCTCCATCTTCTACCTTCCTCATCACCACAGGTGACAGTTCCTCACTCACACCTACAGGATGAGGGCCACCCTTTCTCCTGCCTCCGGCAGTGCGTCCACACCTTCCCAGCCGCCACCCACTCTGGTGCCAAGGTCGCACGTGGCAGGGACTTGGGCACGTCTGCCCCTGCACTGGCGGCTGCAGAGCACACTGCCCCGAACGCTCTGGCAGCCCGTGCAGCGGTGCGGCTGCCTCGCAGGCTGCGGGTCGGTGCCGGATGCCCTGCCGACCTCCCTGGGCTCTCACCCTGTGCTCAGTGCGGCACCGGCCGGGCACCGGCGGCCCTTGGGTGGCTGGGACCTCCAGTCTGCGCCCCATGTGGCTTTTCAGTGGAGGCCCCTTCACAGTTTGGGGCACCCAGCTTTGAGAGGCAGAGGCTGGGAGCGCTCTCCAAGGCTTGCCGTGGGGGTCCCCTCACATTTCCTCGGTCAGACCTGCCACGAGCCCAGCCCAGCCTCACAATATGGGACATGGGTCTCTCCCTCTGGTTGGGGACACAGCAGAAAAGTGTCCATACTGAGTCTCCCCCATGCGTGCATGAGCACCACACAGACCCGCACACCGACCGAGGCAGAGCCGGTGTGTCACCGTGCTCAGGTCATCGGGACCACGGTTCGCCACACAGGCGGCGAGAGACAGGAGCGAGCGCAGAATCAAAGCCCTGGGCGCGTCCGCCCCGACTCGGGTTTAACCGGAAAATGTCCAAGTGACCGCACCGTCTTTCCTCGGCAGGAAAGAGTGCCAGCTCCCAGCCTCGGCCCGGAAAGGTGAGATGCAGCGACGCACTCCGTAGCCACGGCCCCTTTGCTCCTAGGCACGGTCACGAAACACCATTTTCCATGGAAAGGAGCCTGGGAGGTGCGGCCAGCTCGGGCCTTGCGCAGAACCAGTCTGGCACCTGTGGCCGTCACATGACTGCAGGGACGGCCATCGGGAGTCCCGCGGCCGAAGGCGGCCTAGTCACCCCTGAAACCCGGGCCCTGTCTGTGCGGGCAGGTGCGCACAGGTGAGGGCCGCGCAGCGGAGCCCGCACCGCCCGGGAGCCCGCCCTCGGAGCAGCCGAGCCCCGCCTCCTGGCTGCGTGGCTGCTCTGTCGGAAGGAATCCCAGTCCGCCTCTTCCTCCCAGGCCCTGTTTGTCAAGGCAACTGAACTGTTGTCAAGGTAACTCCTTTGTGGGAGATCGGCCAGGGCAGCCCAGCGACGAGTCCTAGGTCCCCGTGGAGGGAGCGGGCGGTGTGGGAGGCCCGCCGAGGCTCTGCCGAGGCCCCACAGGCTGCGGCTGGTTCAGGAAACAAACCTGAGGGCAGGGGGCGGCAGCAGAACAGGGCAGACGGCACTTTCTGGCCCAACGGGCAAACTCTGCAGGCCAAGGCTCCGCCTTTCTCCCACACACCGACACCCGATGAGAAAGCCGTGGAAATGGCCGTCAACACCTCAGCCAGATGCTGGGGCTTCTCCTGGTCCAGCGGAGCCCAGGGGTGGGCGGTCGGGGCATCGGGTCCGGGACGGCAGGGGACATTGTTTGTAGTTTATGGTGTGGGAATGGTGTCCAGCTCGTGTTTGGAGAGGCTCCTTGTCCCTTCAAGGACATTTGAGGAGTTTAAACAAGGAGCAACTGGGGCTGAGATGGCTCTGGGGGCGCTGGGGAGCCTGGTGTGTGGGCAAAGCAAACCCGGCCTCGTGACAGGGTGACCGAGCCACGAGACGGCACTGTTTTCGGCGTGAAGCCGCTTCGGACACACTGGCCTCAGGCTTGAGGCCATGGGAGTCTCCACACAGGAGACTGCATCTCTACGCAGACCCTCTGCAGTGCTGGGCCCAGGTGCTGCGCCCGCCACCCTCCCCGTGGGGCATGGCCGCCGAGGCTGCCACCCACGAAGGAGGATGAAGAGACCCGGGGCCCGAGTTCTGGAAGGTTCTAGCCCAGCAGCTGGTGCCGATTCCGTGACGTGCCCCAGGGGGCCCCGCGGGCCAGGCTCCGAGCGAGGCTCAGCCCCTGCAGGTCCCAGGGGTTCTGCCGGGTCAGCACAGCTGGTCTGCACCGAGCACAGTGCGGAGGTTGGGGAGGGCCCGGGGGACCCCCACGGGCACACGGCGGCGTCTCTGGGGGTACTTCCTCCCTGGAAGCACACACAGTCGCCCGTGCACTCACACTCATGCACACTCGCACAGCAGAGCAGCACCCTTGGAAACGCGCTTGGCCTGTTTTTCCGATCCGTGCCCCAGGATAAATTCGGCAGGATTTCCCGTCACATCTCTCTCCAAGGAGGGGCTCCGGAGGCAGCCCCACGCACGGAAAGGCACGTGGTCCCAGTGGCTGGAGGGTCCCAACAATTACACGGGTGGGGGGCCCTCAGCACGGAGCTCTGGGGCGTGTGCCCGCTGCTGCCTGAACGCCCCCCCACTGCCTGCCCCACCTGTTTTCCCGCAGGTAGTGGAGCTGAGCCCAGCTGGCCCGGTCACCTGGCCTGGTCGGCCCTGGCGGTCCCATCAGGGAGAGACCCCACGTCAGGGCCTGGCAGGGGAGTCTGGGCAGGGGCAAAGCTGGCAGAAGCTTCTGGAACGACACGGCAGGTGGAGCCCCTGGCACTGCCCGCCCCCCGCCCAGATGGGGGACCCGTCCTGACGAGACGAGGACGCCTTGGGGACCAGAGCGGGTGTTCCAGACGCTGCTGCGGGCGGAGCCTGAGCCGGGGTCGGAAGTCACTGCACCAGAGGCAGCACCTGACTCGGCTGAGATGCGGTGAAGCGCAAGCCTGGTTGCTATGTAATTAACTCGAAACGTAATGAGCAATAAAAATACAATTACATTCCTGTAACGCATTAAACTTAGCGCTTTTTCAATCCACTTGAGAGGCCCGTGCCTGCTCCCCAGGCGAGAACACAAAGGGACAGAAGGGGAACATGTGGCCCCAGACGTGGCTCTTGGCTGGGACCCCCCGTGAGCCTGGCCCCTGGGCGCACGGCAGGGGGCGCGTCCCCAGAGGAGGAGCCGAAGGAGACCCACGCCGCAGTGGCCCCACCTGGGGTCCCCGGGAGGAAGGCACACACACGTGTACACGTAACCCGTGCACATGCACACACATGCACGGGCCACCACACAACTGTCCCTATCACAACGCTGAGCATCCATTGCGTGTCCCTGAGCAGGGCTGCACAGCTGGCCCAGCGCCCACGCCAGGAGGGTCATGTGGCCGCCACAGACAGGAGGCTGCAGCCGCTCGAACTGAAGAGGCCGCGGAAGCCCAGTGGGGGCAGGTCCGTGGGGGCGCAGCGGCCGGGGTGCAGGGCTGGGCACGGGGCGTGGGGGACCGGGGTGCGGGGGGCTCTTTTCAAGGGGACGGCAAGGACCGGCGTGAGCTGGTGACGGAGGCGTCTGCCTGTGAACCTGCTGAGCACTGTCGAGCTGCACCTTCAGCGGGTGACTGTGAGGTATGTGAACTTCATGGTACATGAATTATTTTATGTAAACAAAGCTGTGTTTAAGGACAGGTTTCAGGGTGCAGAGGGGAGGCCTGTCGGTGGGGGAGGGGTGCATGGACAGAGCTTGTGGACTTCTCACCCCCTCCCAGCCCCTCCCTGCCCCCCCTGCACCTGGGGAGGGAACCTTCAGCACAGGCCTTCGCAGCACCGAGCCAGGGGACACAGGAGCAGGGGAGGGGATCCAGCCGTGACCTCCCAGATTGCCCTGACCCTGCATGGTGCACTCTGCCCCTGGAGGCAGCTGTAACCTAGCCCAGCCTCAGTTTCCTCACTGTCCCACTCAGAGGGCTGCTGGGAGCTCAGGCCCGGCAGCGCCTGTCCCAAGGAGAGGGACCACCGTCACCACGGGCGTTATGGGGGACAGTCACACCCTACCCTTCCTGGTGACACTGGATGGCAGCTGTCAGCGTCCCCACAAGGGCAGGATGAGCCGCACCATCAATTCCCAGCAGAGTAGACAGGACATGTACCCCGTGCCCACCGCAGGACAAGACCAGTGGGTGTGACCCCCCAAAACCCCCATCTGAGGGCCGTCTTGCTCCCAAGTCCCGGGGGGGCCCGGCGCTGGGCGGGGAGCTCTGAGCAGGTCAGCAGTCAGTGGGGGTGGCCAGGGCGGGGTGGCAGCCCGAGGCCCATGACCAGGCTCCCAGGAGGGGGGCGCCCGGCAGAGGTGGCAATGCCAGCGTCCGGGAAGGACGGGGGGCCGGGGGCTGCGTGAGGTGCTCCCCCACCCCCAGAAGCCGCAGCGGCGCCAGCAGGGAGCCGAGGCCGCGTGTCTGGGGCTGTCCGAGTGTGATGCGGATGAGACCTGCATCTGGAAACATCTCGCAGTGTCGTTTTTACAAGAAAGCTGTGCCGCCCAGATTTACGGCGGTGCGCAGAGAGGATTTTAATTACCACGTTTTAGGAGGCGGCGGCGCCGCTGCAGCAGGCTGCGCAAAGCGGCCACGGCTCAGCGGGCACCGCCCGCCCGAGAGCCTCCTCCTGCTGCTGGCCAGCACCTGCCTGGGACCCTGGAAAGTAGCCCCACCAGGAAGCCCAGCACCTCTGCTTGCGTACCTCTGGTGGCAGGGAGCTCACTCCCTACCAGGGACCAATCAGTCCCCTGCCAGGGCTCTGCCTGAGGGGCCCCATGGCCGGCGTCCTCTCCCCCTCGGTCCCCAGCTGGATGTGGGCGGTGCCCAGCCCGCACCTCCCTCTGAGCACCCCCCACCCCCACCTGTAGTCTGTCACCTCCCATGTTCTGGCACTCTGCTCCTGAGGATGTGGCCCGGGGCGGGCGGGAAGGAGGACCTGTGGGGGGTGGAGGCCAGGTGTGCAGCTGCGGAGGAGCCACCAGAAGGACGGAGGCAGGTCACTCTGCCCTGTGGGCCCAACATGCGGTGGGGCGGCAGAAGGCCCTCTGCACCGCCGGCTCCGCGCGGTTCCTCCCGAGTTCTGTGTGATCACAGAGCGCCCTCCCCAAGGTTATCTGTAAAAAGGGCTTCGCTGATGGGAAACCCACATTTCTGTGCATTTCGAAGTGCGGGGGTGATGAAGTCTGAAGACCCACATCTGCTGGGGGGCCAAGGGGGTGCAGGGTAGGTCTGGGGGCAGTTTCAGACCAGAAGTTCCAGGACCTTCACGACACCCTTCTCCTGGGACTGTGCAGGGAAAAGGGCCGAGACCCTCTCTCACCTGCAGGGAAGGAGTCGTTCTTAGAAGCCAGGAGAGGCCTCGGGGGTGCAGAGTGGGCCGGAGGAGTGAGGGGTGCCTGGCCTCCTGGCCCCCATCTCTCTTCCCAGCAGAAGCCTGGTTCACTGGGGACCAGTCTGTGCACCGCTGGGCGTCCCAGGAGGCGCATCAGCCATGTGCCCGAATATGGCCACCCTGAGCCAGTCTGAGAGGGGGCCCTGGGGGTAAACCTTCGACCCTGTGCTCACTAATCAGCCGAGGAGGCAGGTCGTGATGGGGCTGGGAGGCCGGGAATGGCGGTGCCCAGGGCCCCACCCGGCACGGCCCAGGGCCCAGCCGGTTCCAGCCGAGGCCTCCAGGCACAGGGTGGGGGCCTCAGAGAGTGCCCTGCCTTGGGGACCACAGCCTCGCTGCTTCCCTGGTTCAGCAGGGACACCCCCCCAGAACCCGCCCATGCCCACCGAGGCTGGAGGGAACATCAGCCGGGCAGCAGGGGCCCGGGTGGCAGGTGGCCCACCCACCAGGCTCCCGAGTCCTCCGCGTCCCCTTGCTGCACGGCCCAGGCATCAGGGAGGCCAGGACACCAGAACCCTCACCCTCCTGGCGCCCCTCTCAGTGCCAAGTGAGTGAGGCCACTGACTTGGGGACAGTCTGGGCTGGGGGCCACCTCACACCCCAAAAAGGGCAGCTGCCCAGGCAGGCGGGGTCCCAGCTCCAGACAGGCCACCCGCTCACCTCCGGGAAAGGGTCCCCAGAAACTGCCTGTACCTCATGCATCCCCCTCGAGGGCTGAGGTGCACAGCAACGCCGGACGTGTGGTTAACCGTCCGCCCCTTCGACAAGTAAGCGTTCGACGTGCCCAGACGGCCCTCTGAGGTCACCACGAAAACCTGTCAATCACCACACACTTCGCTGTCCTCAGAAACAAAGACTTCCTGCTCCCCATGATCTGAGGACAAAGGGGGCGGGGGGAGGGGGCGGCTGGGGCTGGGAGGTCGGTGGGGGGGCAGGTGGGACCCTCCCCATCACGACCCCAGGACCCCTCTCCAGGAAGCTCCGCCTGGGGGACGCAGGCCTGCCTCAGGGGCCAGGCTGGGAGTCAGGCCGGGGTGCCGTCAGCCCCCCCCAAGGCCCCGGGAGGGATGGGGGGGACGCAGGAGTCCAGCCCCCGCCACTCTCGCTCTGGGCCCTGAATTTCCAGAGCAGCAGAAGCTGGGTGAGCTGGCACCGAGGGGCCCGGGCAGCCTCAGCCGGCTGGCGGCCTTCCCACAGACACCTGCCCGCCCCCTCCCCGCGCCCCCACGCGCACCTGTCAGGTCTCATTACCTGGGCTGTCACCCAGGGCCTGAGCTGCGGCCCCGTCGACCTTGAAGTCTGTCTCCCGACACGCCACAGGGCCCGCGGCCTCCCGGCCATGCGTGGCTACAAACCCGGAGCCAGAGAACAAAGGCGGCTGCTGTCAGCCATGCACCGCAGAGGCCGGTGTCCTTGGCGAGACCCAAGGTCGGGCAGGGCCTCCTGACCGTGGCTGTCTGGCTGGCAGAGCCCTCTGCTGACCCCTGTCCTGTCCAGCACGCGCTCCGTGAAGAGCAGCTGCTGGGGGGGGACAGGCAGACAGGGTTTGGGGAGGCCGCCCTCGGGTTGGGGTCGGGTTCCACCCCTGTGGAGGCGAGGCGAGCGGGGCTGAGTCTGAGCCACCTGGGGTGTCCGGGAGCCCCTCCCTGGGAACCACGGACATTCAAGCACAGGAGCCAGGCCAGCATCGGGGACCCTCAGCAGACGAACTCACCTGCACCGTGAACCCCAAAGTCAACTGTCACCCTGAGTCTCCAGCACCTGCTCACCCCAGAAAGTGTCACCCTGTGAGGGACAAGCCTTTCTGAGCCTCTGGTGACCATGGTGTCATTGGCTTCAACATCCGGGCCAAATGTTGGTGGGGGGCAGGGGGGCCAGGCCACAGCTCCGAGGCGGCCAGGACGGTGGGCAAAGGTGGCTCTGTCGCAGAGATGTCCTGGGCCTGAGGCCAGCACTGGACCAGGTTTCCTTTTAAGTTGGATCGCAGAACAAAAGAAAGGGGGACGCCCAGAGCAGGGGCCCGGCCTGCAGTCTGGTGAGGGGCCCCAGCAGGGGCCTGCCCGGCTTGGGGCTTCGATTCTGGGCTGCCTGGGGCAGCCGGAGGCCCCTGTCTGAGTCCAAAGCTTGAAGAGCAGACCAGCCGGCAGAACTCCCTGGTTCTGACTCCAGCTCTGCACCTACCGCCCCCAGCACCCAGGGGGCGGGTGCTGGGTGTGGGGGCAGGGGGTGGGTGGTGCTGGGGGTGGGGGAGGGCTGGGCCCACCCCGCCCCTGCCCCACCCCTGCCCTGCCCACTCCCCCACCCCCACCCCATCTCTCCGAGCCTCTGGTCCACATCCAACCTGCTCCTCAGAGTTGTTCTCTTTATTTTGTAATTTGCTTTGCAAATAACCCTGATTTAAAAACCATATATATCTATTTTTAAGAACCTGGTTTTTGCTTCCTTAATTAAATGTCTGCACGATGTTTTTCTCTAGGAAAATTCAATTAGGGATTAATTTTTGTCATCAAGAACACTGGTGCTGAGCCCTCGACAGGGCTTCCCAAGTAAACCGTCGGGGTGGGTGCCGCGGCCTGGCTGGGCCATTCCACGTCCGCAGGAGAACGGGTGGCCACCCGGACAGGCCGGCTCCGACCCCATCAGCGTCACGTTGGGCCCTCCCCCAGGCAGCCCGAAGGCCTCTGGTTCCAGGCCGGGGGTGAGCATCCACTCCCAGCTGAGTGTGGGGGCACATAGATACCCAGCAGGGGGCAGGAGCCAGCGAGCGAGTGCTCTGGGGCCGGGGGACGAGCTCGGTCCCTGAGGGACTGGTGTCAGTGACTAGTGGCCCCCGGGCCTGCACATCAGACTCCCCTGTGGCGGTGAAGAAGGGGGCGCGTGGCTGCAGCCGGTTCCTGACCACCAAGGCTCCGGCTGCAGGGACCAGTGGCACCGGTGGCTGCTCAGAGCTCCTACAGGTGAGGAGCCCTGCCTACCTGTCTGGCAGCCTCCTCCCACCTCCCACAGGCCACAGCCGTGGGGGGGGCACGAGGAGGAGAAGGGGTCCCTGAGGTGAGAAAATGCCTGAGGGGCCGAGAGCTGGCAGCCCAGGGGCTGCGGGAATAAGCCCGGGGCCTGGCCAGAGCCCAGCCGTGGGGGCTCTGAGCAGGAATGTGGGGGTTTGGGGAAGCCCAGGCCTCTCTGGCTGTAGTGGGTGCCCCCATACCAGCTGTTGGGGACCCTTAGAGCTATGGGGGTCCCCCAAGTCCATGGCCGTCCCCGCTGGCCCCTGCCCAGCAATAGGGATGTGGCAATGCCACATATCAGGTAGCAAACCGTCTCTCCACATGGGAGAGGCACCCAATGGTCTGATGGCAGTTTTCCAGGGCCGCTCGGGCCCTGTGCACCCTTGCTGTGGGGTGGGGGCCTGCGGTGGTGAGGAGCACAGCTGCGGGGGTGCCCGGGCCTTGGGTGCGATGGCAGCACCAGCCTGTCCGCTCTCATCTGGTGGGTGGCCAAGGGGGACCCCGAGCCTTGTTGTGAGTGCCCGTCCTGGAGGCGTGCAGGCTGCCACGTGGCTGGGACGTGGCCCGGACGTGGCCCGGACGTGGCCTTCGTGACCATGAGGCGCTGTCCCCCTGTGACCCTGCATCCCCAGGGCAGGACGGTAGGCCCAGGCCGGGGGCCTTGCTGAGGGCAGTGGCCAGGTCAGCCTGAGGCAGGCCAGCGCCACCTGGGAGATGTCTCTGGAGGCCCCATGACCGTGAGTGACAGTGAGCCCCGGGCGTGGCAGGAGCCCTTCCCAGGGAGTGTCCTGAGTGCCAGGGGCACCCCTGTTAGTGGGCCTGCTCTCTGCTCAGGCCAGCACCGGTCCAATCCCAAAGTGGCAAGCTTCCACCTCCCCTTCGAGATCCCCACAAATGTCCACCCCCAGTGCCGCCCAGGTGGGCTGGGGTCCCACTCTCCACTCACCCTCCAGGGGCCGTGTCCCCCCCAGGGTACGAGTGGCCCCAGGGCTGCAGCGAGAGCACCCGGTGGCTCTGGGAAGGTCAGCGGGCGTCGGGGCAAGAGGCAGCCCCAGTGCCGGCCCCAGTGGGCCCGGTGCCCGGGCGGTGGCAGTGGTCACTGGAAGCGCCCGGCCGGTCGCCTGCACGCCTGCACCTCTCCGCCCAGACCTCCAGCGCTGGGCGACTTCCGGCTTCCGCCCTGGCGGATGGCCCCTCCTGCCGGTCAGCGCCCGGCCGTTTCCAGCCGCAGCTGGATAAACAGGCCCTGATAGGCCGAGGAAGGGCGGGAAGCCAGGGAGCGGCCGGAGGGAAAAACCAGGGGTCAGGGGCCACTCGGGGGTGTCCGCAGGGAGGTGTCCAGAGACCACCCAGGGCGGGTGCCCACCGTGGGGAGAGCAGCCCCTCCCCCACCCTGTCCGCTCAGGCCGCAGCCCCCAGGGTGCCCCATGCATGGGGGGTGGGGCGGCATCCGCAGCCGCAAAGCCTGCCGTGGAGACAACCGCCCACTGAGGCTGGCAGTGCCTGGCTGCTGAGCGGAGAAGGGTCTCCCCTAGGGGTGTGCTGGGGTCTCCCCAGCTCCTACTGTGCTTGCCACCTTTCCCCCAGGCCCCAGGCTCAGCCCCTCACGCTGGCGCTCAGAGACCTGGGCCTCCAGTCCGGACCCTGGGCCCCTCCTGTGGTCCCAGCTGAACCTGGGGTTCCCAGGATCTGCCTGAGGGAAGGCCTCCCGGGGCAGGGCGAACACAAGCTGGGACCCCCGGTGCCCCGAGCCAGGACCAGAAGTGGCTGAGTCGGCAAAGGGAGGCAGAACCGCATGGCACAGGGTCCCTCTACAACCGAGGCACTCTCAGGGGCACAGCAGGTTCTGTGACCTTCAGCATTGTCATTAGCAACCCCTGACAGCAGCACATTATTGCTTTTCCGGGGGCCCTAGGTGTTCCGGGCTCTGGACAGCTGAGCTGCCTGCGGAGTCAGCGTCCGGGTTGCGTCCTGGCCACTGGTCTGCAGGAGCGCACAGGTGGCGGGACGCCTGCCCTGGGCTGTCCGGTGCTTCAGCGCTCGGAACCTCGCACCAGCCTCAGGAAGAGGTGCTGCCATTTTCCCACCTCGTGGGTGAGCAGACGGCAGCCCAGAGAGGGTGAGCGATGTGCCTGAGGCCAAACAGCGGGCAAAGGTGGGCTGGGACTTAGGCCCCAGTATCTGGGTCCACAGTCTGCTATTAACCAATGCTGTCCCTCGGCTGGACCCTGGGACCCTTGCCAGGTTCAGCAGGGTGCCAGCTGGCAATGTGGACCCACTTCTGCCTCCCCCGCGCCCTCGCCCAAGACAAGGCTGTCTGGCGGGCCTCACCCCTGAGGGACCTACCGCCCTGCCCTGGTCTCTCCACTTGCCGCATAAAAGGCAGAAGCAGCTTCACAGAAAGGAACAAGACTCTGTAGGCAAAGTGTCCTCGTAGGTAGGGTCCAGCCGGGCTGCTGGCCAGCACGAGGCGGGGTTGGGGGGCAGGCAGCCCGGAGGTGGGGGAGCCCGGGCTGGCGCTCGGGCCGCAGGTTCTGCAGTCAGGCACACCTGCCCAGGTGCCCCACCTGCAGAGAGACACCAGGCCCGCCTGCCCAGGGCAGAGCCGCAGTGCCGCAGGCCACGGGCCAGAAATGAGCCCCTGGAACATCTGGTGGCATCCGCTATGAGGGTTGGTGTCTGGGGGTGTCAGCAGTGTGCTCAGGGCCGGCGTGCGTTTCTCCCATGGGCACAGGACACCGTCTTTCTTTGGAGACCCAGCCAGGCCCTGGACTGGGCACCCCCACCCCACGGGGCCTCATTCCACCTGGGGGGGGCCTGGCCCCAGCAGGCAGGCTCTGAGTATCAGCTCCCTGGAGGAGCCCAGGCCCTGGCAGACTCCAGCTGCCAGTCCTTGCCCTGTGGCCTCGGACACCGGCCCTAATGCCCCCCGGGCAGCCGCCCCCTCGGTAAAGTGGAGGCGGGACCCCACCTCACAGCGGCACAGAGAGGGGGTGATGTCAGCCTCTGGGGCTTAGAAAGCCCTGTAGATGTTAGTGTGGTTACGATGCTTTTTCCGGCGGCAGGAATACCAGTAGCAGCAGAGGCGATAGAAGTTAATGGCAGTGGTGTGGAATCGCTAGCCGAAGTAAAGTAACAGCTGCCCGGAGAGATCAGCGATGGGCACCAGTCCCTCCCCTGGAACCTGCCTCCCGTGCTGGGCTCAGGGGGAGCCATCTGACCCGCTTCCCGCCCCGCCCCAGCTCCACCCCTGCCCCACCCTTCCTCCTGACAACGCGCCATCTCCAGACCCTCTGCGTCTCCTCCTGTTTGCACAGCACCTGCATGCGCCCAGCCCTCCACCTCAGGCCGGGTGTGCACTCCACAGGCCAGGAGACAGGCCACCCTGGGGGCAGTGCCCCGCTCTGCACTGGCCAGTTGGGTCTGGGGGCGGCTGCTCGTGGGGAACAGTAAATATTCACAACTTCGGCACAGTGGCTGCAAAGACAGGGCACGTGGGTCCCGGCTGTCACAGCGGCCCCTTCACCAGGTCGGCCATCAACTCGAAAGGTCAGAGCTGCCCCTCGGTGGCCTTGGAATCGAAGTCTTTGGCTTCCCACTGCCCCGGTGGTGGCAGCAGTGGGCTCAGGACGGCGATGACGGGAGAAGGTGACACACTCACAGCGCACAGGCCGTGGTCCTACACGCCCACTGGCGCCGCGGTTGCCGGAATGAAAGGGCAGAGGGCGTCTGCGTGCTGGGTGGGGGGAAGGGGCGTGGGCCAGGCCTCCCGTGGTGGACCTTTGTTGTTTGCAGATGAGGTCATTCAGGGAAAACAGGGGGCGGGGCCCAAAGCCTCCACCCTGCCTAGTCCCGCAGGCCCACCAGGACCCAGGGGCCCCTGAGATGTGGCCCCCGGGGTAGGGGCAGGAGGCGAGGCCTTTGCACCCACTGAAGACATGCACCTTTGGGCCCAGGCACCTGAGAGGAGACAGCAGAATGAGCACCCACCCCGTGTGGCCAAGGAGGAATGTGAGCCTCAGAGAGGTCAAGGCACTCCCCTGACATCACACAGCTGAGAGGGGAGCAGCTGGAGGACACAGCCCAGCACTCCGGGCTCTGCCGTTGTCGGGCGTCGCAGACCTCGGGGACCACGTGCCTCAGATCCGCCC